GCAGATGACAGAAGCAGAGAGAGAGCTAACTCCTCACTTCTCCTTTTAAAGCCACCATGCCTGTGACCACCATTAAACCATCAGTGGATGAATCCACTCACTAGGGCACGGTCCTACAATCTAATCACCTCCTCAAGGCCCCACCTTTCAGTTACCATAACAGGATTTCCCACCCTCTCAACACTGCCACAGTGGGGACCAAGTTTCTAGTACATGGATTTGGGGGACACAATTCAATCCACAGCCCCCTGTCCCCACCTAACAAGGAAAATAACTTTGAAATGACCAATCTGCGTTCGGTTCTTTGTTTCTGCTTCCTTCAGCCTTTTCTTCTACAGAGCCTTTGTTATTCGTAGTGAACACTGTGTCAGATGGTGTTGATCCTCACAGGGGCTCCCAATCAACTCCCCAAATAATTCCTGCCTCAGCAGCCTTAGTCTCATTCAACAAAGGAAAGGTTTCTACCCACCAGTTCCCTTGCAGTGCGATGCTGGCAGTGATGGGTGACACTTGATGAAGAAAAGAGTCCAGAGAATGAGGATGAGAGAAAGCACCACGGTGAGTCCATTTCTCTGAACTTAATTGACTTGTGCTCTTCCAGTCCGAGAAGCTGACCTTCCATTAGGATTTATTGCTGGACAAACTAATTCTTTACAGACTTTGTTATCACCAAGAAAGCCATTGCTCAGATAAATGTAGATGACATTGTATAGGAAAACCATGGGACAATGGGATGATTGTTAACCAGTTGTACTTTATTTTTTTATTTTTATTTTTATTTTTTTGTCTTTTTTCGTGTCCGGCAATGGATCGCAACCCTCAGTGTCGCGCCCGTACCGGACCGGGACCGGCAACGGGATCGCAACCCTCGGTGTTGCGCCTGCACCTCGCTCAGCCAGTGAGCGGGAACCGGTCTGTATGTGGGATCCGAACCCTCGGCGGGAGCAACGCCGCGCTCCCAAGCGGTGCACTGTAGCAGTGCGCCACCGGGCCGGCCCTAACCAGTTGTACTTTAAACTAATGGGAATTACTTATGAGTTCAGTAGTCTAGTTTAGCATAGTCATAAATGTTGCAAAAGACCCGAGAAACCAATATTCAATGTGTCATAGTCAGTTACCCACTCCGTCTTTACACAATATTTGGGATTTGTTTACTGCTTAGACCTTTCTGAACGTGTTGCCAGACAAAGGGGGTCTGTTCCTCGGAGAGTGCAGCGCTGCCAAGGGAAAGGGTTGTCTTGTTGAGCCAAAGTTCCCGCTGACTTCCTGCCCAGGTCCTCACTGAGGTCCTCGCATGTAAGTGAAGGGTACGAGCTTGTTCAGTTTGCACTGGTTGACAGTGGGACATGGTTCGCTGGTCAGCTGTGAAGCCAAATTTGCATTTGCGCCCGGGATGGAATGTGGCCTTCTGACATTAACAGGACCTCAGGAAGGTGTCACATGGGCTAAACCTTGATCCCTTAGCTAGTACAGGTCACAGTGGCAAATTGGGACTTCCTGCTGTGGCTGACCCATGACACAGAACGGGGAGGCTGGGCGTGCAGACCTCACTCCTCCATGGACTGAGACTCACCAAAGTTCGTCTCTGGGGCCCGTGATTCAGTTTCAGTTTCTGGGGCCTGTGCTTCAGTTTTCAGGCCACCGGGTGTCCAGGGGACATGGACAATGTCTGCGTGAGAGGCCTGGGCCTGCAGGCTGGGAACACCTGGAAGTCACAGCAGAGGGCAGGGGCAGGGCAGCAGGAGGCAGGTCCTATGGATCTGGGGGAGGAAGAGGCCCACTGTCCTGCCTGGGTCTGGCCACAGGGCCATCAGCAGAGCCAGGCGGCAGGAGCAGGAGAGGAGAGGCCAGAGGCTGGGAGGAGGCGCTGCACGTCCAGAAGTAGGGGTTCCCACAGGAGCCGAGTGCAGCTGGGAGGTGGGTGCAGGCGAGGGCTGGGACAGGACCGCTGTTCACCCTCCAGACACCTCTGTGGGCAGATGCCAGGAAAGATGCAGTGCAGGTGTCACCCGTGCACCGGGGTGCTGCGACTGGCAAGGTCACAGGGCGGGGTGGCCCCATGCGAGCATCTCACCCCAGGCCTGGGCAGGTGCCAGGGCAGCGGAGAATCCAGGGCGCACAGTCAGAGGAGTGTTTTCCCTCCCTTTCCCTCCGCCTTCTCCCTCCCCACTCCCCTCCTCGCCCCACCAGCTTCAGGAAATGTAAACTTAGTGCCTGGGCTCCTCCCCCAGCCCTCCCTCCTCCGCCCCACCCCCCTCCAATGCAACCTCTCTCTGCTCCTGGCACCACCTGCCCCCTCTCAGCCTCCCACCTCCCCAGAGAGGGGCAGCAGGGACCAGGCAGGACCACCAGCCACCCCAGGAGGTTGGGGCTGCCTCTGACCTCAGCCTTGAAAGGATTTTGCCCCCCAACCCAGAGCAGAGGGTCACAGACCGCAGGAGCGCAAGTGGTTTCAATTCCCTGAACCTCAGTGTTCCCTTCTGAAAGATGGGGATAACCAGAGCCACCTCTCAGTGTCCTTGTGAGATGAATAATGAGAAATTAATGCCACCTGGAAAACAGCAGAGACTGCCCAGAGATGGAAGCGCAAATCAGCGTCACCAGGGGCAGAGCTTGTGTGACGTGGGTCTCTCTGCCTGATAATAAGTGGTGGAGCATCCTGTACCCAGGCCCTTGGAAGTGCTTCCCATCCTGACATTGCCAGGAGCTGTCCTGGGCCTGAGCCCCTCTGCTCCGGGAGGCAGTGAGCTTCCAGGGCTGCCTGCAGGCCGGGTCCCCCCTCCCCAGGCTCCTCCGGGCTGGGCCCCCTCCCAGCTTCCAGCTCTGGGTTCAGGCCAGAGGGAGCTGCCTCCTGGGATCCGGGCCCTTCTCTGTCCAGCTCTGCCCTCAGGGGCCTGTCCAGGACCCATCCCCTCCTGGACCAGCCCCACTCAGCTTGTGCCAGATCCCATGCTCACCCCTGGTACCCCTGGTGGGTGGGGCGGAGGAGGGCAGCGGCCTGGCACTGCGTTCTCTTGGGTCTCTCTGAAGGAGGCCAAGGATGGGACAGACAGGAGGAAGGACACAGAAAAGGCCTGGCCCAGCTCAGTGGAGCCCCTTCTGTCCCACCCATATCCAGACCACTGCCTCTCAGGACCGCAAACCTTGATGGGGCTCAGAGGCCTGAGCTCGGTGCCAGGTCCCCTCTGCCACGCTGGGGGGCCTGTGCTTGTCCTCTACCCTCGGTGGGCTGGGCCGGCCCTGCCTGCATGAGGGGCAAAGGGAGGACGGGGTGGGGGGCACAGGAGGGCTGCATAGGACCTCCAGATAAGTCCCCAAAGTGCAGAGCCGGCCTCAGCCCCTCTGAGGTCCTGGAGACAGAGGGCAGTGACCTTGTACCTGCTGCTGAGAGAGCAAGAGGCGAGTAGCCTGTGCTGACGGGGATGCAGGAAGACCTGGGGAAGGAACCAGGCAGAGCTGAAGAGGAGGAGAGGACAGGCCCACTGGCCGGGCAGGTAGACAGAGGGGCCTCCCCCAACAGGCCCGCCTGTCTCTCTGGGCCTGAAACGTCTCCTCTAGTCATTCAGGTGGCAGGACAGGGACAGGCTGGCTGCAGCTCAGGACAGCAGGTCAGTATCCCACCTCTCCAAGCCCAACCCAGGACTTCCCAGGACTCCCGCCACAGGCATAGCACCTAAGTTCCCAGGGCCTCGTGTCTCTTCATTGGGGTGTCTGTCACCAGGAGGAGTCTGGACACCTCACAGCACACCCCATCTCTCCACAAGGCTCTGTGCAGCCACTGCCCACCTGCCCACCTTTGCGGCTCATCCTGGGTGCAGCTGTAGACTGGTCAGCTGCGGCCGCAGAGGCAGCTCCCGCCATCACAGGACTATCCTCTCTGAGCCTGTGTACAGGGACCACACAGCTGGAGGTCCCAGACCAGCGACGCAGTCAGTATGACCTGATCGAGGCAAGGGGATTCCCCGATTGACCTCAGGCTACCAACCCACGAGGAGACTTGAGTGTCTGACCTGGAATGTCCTCTCTGTATCCACCCAGACTCTGTCTGCTGGACTGCACAAGCCGCATGCTCCCTCCCTCCACAGCAGGGCCTGAGGAGGGGCTGAGACCACTTTGGGCAAAGCCAACTGACTTCCTGAGCCTCATTTTCCCCACTGATGATGATTCCGGCCTCCCCCTTCTCTCTCCTGGCATCAGGAAGTGACAGTTATGGAAAACGGGCAGCAGGGGGTAAGGGATCCTGGGGGCACACTTTGCAAAGCCTCAACTAGGACCTGGACCTCTGCGGTCTCCCCCAGACCTGGGGTCTACCCAGGGCCTGGTGACCTGCACAGGCTGGCCACCCCTGCCCGCTTGGAGCTCTCATTTTTGTGGCCCCTCCCCACCTCTCCACCAGGCCTCACCCAGGCTTCAGGAAATGGAAACTTAGAGCCTGGGCTCCTCCGCCTACCCCCGCGCCTCTCCCCGCTCCAACGCTCAAGCTCCCTCTGGTCCTCACACCACCTGGCCCCTCTCAGCCTCCACCTCCCCACGGAGAGGCAGCAGGGACCAGGCAGTACCACCAACCACCCCAGGAACTCGGGGCTACCTCTGACCTCAGCCCTGAAAGGACTTTGCCCCCCATCCCAGAGCAGAGGGTCACAGACTGCAGTAGGGCAAGTGACTTCAACTCCCTAAACCTCAGTTTCTCCTTCTGAAAAACTGCCCAGAGATGGAGGCGCCAATCAGCATCACCAGGAGCGGAGCACGCGTGACACAGGTCTCCCTGTCACTGCCTTGCGCCCCCGGTGGCTCCAGTGCCCCTGGAGTTAAGTCCAAGTTCCTGACCATGGCTTTTGGCACGGTTTTTTCTCCCCTGACCCTTCCATGACCCACTGGTTTCTGTTCCTCCAAAAGTCACTTGCAATTTGTTTTGAGTAGACAAGATGGTGAACACATTCTGCACTGGGATCAAAACACCCCACGTGATCATCTTCCTGACCACAAACACCCAGAATAGGAAGGGGGGGAAGTCTGTGTTTATTTGAGGCACCAAAGCAGCAGGAGGGCTCCAGTGTGGGGCTGGGGGAGGGGGCGGGGGCTCAGCTGGATTTGGGGGTGGGAGCCTGGACCTGGTGGCGGCAGAACCCCAGGCCCCCCAAAGACCCCCGTTGCAGTGAGTACAACATGGGTGCAGAAATGCCAGGGAACAGGGCTCCGAGGGGGTTCAGGGCTCTCCAGGCTGCTGGTGCTGGACCAGGGACTCTGACCCGCCACAGTCCCCCAAATGCAGCTCAGACAGGGCCTCACACTCCCACACACACAGTGCGGCCCACCCACCCACATGGCTGAGCATGGCTGGCACCCACGACCACAGACCACCCCATACACAAGACTCCCTCCCCCGCCATCTGGCACAGCTTTGCCAGTGCCAATGACACCTGAGGCTTAGGTGGCCCTCCCAGTGTGTCCAAGGGACCAGTCCTGATCCCGGGACCTAAGCCTCCAGGGGGACTCTCATCCTTTCACTGGTCCCCCAAGGAAGGTCACATTATTGACCAGGGAAATGAGGGCAGCTGGCCCCACTTGGGACAGGGGCAGGGGGTGGGCCTGGCCTTGGGGACCCAGGGCCAAGGGGGTGGGATCAGGCACAGTGAGGAGGCTCTGATAACCTCCAGGGATCTGGGAGGGGCTGGGCTTTCCTTCCTGAGCTGGGGGGAGTGTGGGAGGCACAGGGTCCAAATGGTCAGGGGCCCAGCCGCAGCAGAGCCGGCAGCAGGCTGAACAGCAGCCCAAGGCCCAGCAGGGTGGCGCTGGCCCGCAGCCCACCGTCGGCTGCACTGAAGTTGCAGAGGAAGCTTTGGCAGCAGTGGGTGCCCACGGACGCCACACCGAGATTGACGCTTGGGCCGGGGCAGACTGGGGAGCAGCCCTTGTTCAGGGTGTGGCCGAAGTCCACAACATTCCCTGCACAGGAAAACAGGGCTGTAAGGAGAGAGCCACACTGGTCGCAGACAGACAGGGCTGGGGAGACGGTCAGGCAGGGCTGGCAGGGCCAGCGGTGTCCGAGGCCTCACCAATGCCAGCGGCAGCAGATATGGTCACACAGTAGTTGTCCGAGTCAGAGCAGATGGTCGGCTTCAGGCAGTAGAAATTGCTTTGCTGATTCGTGCAAGAGAAGCACATCAGGGAGTGGGCTGCAGAGGGAGGGACATGCTGAAGGTGACACTGTGTCATACCCGGGGAGGCCTTCCAGTGTTCCTTCCCAGTCCAGGCCCTGGCACTCAAACACCCAATCATTTGTGGACATTTATTGAGCAACTATTATATGCCAGGCCCTGGGCTGGAGACCGAGAAAAGACAGTGACACCAGACCCCGGCCCTGTAAGAACTGAAGTCACACCCAGACACATGGTGATGACAGTGTGGCCAGGCCAGGTTTGAGGCCTCCTGTGGGAGGAGGAGGAAAAAGTGACTCACTTCACTTGGGGCAGAGGGACCTGTAAAGTTGCGTGGGAGCTGGCCTGGGACACATGGGCATCTGCTCAGGGCAGAGCGGGGAGAGGGAGTCCAGGAGGAGGGCACAGCCCCTGCAAAGCTTGGTCTGGGGGCCCCAAAGCCATCTCACCTCGCTCCACACCCAGAAGGGCAGCCAGCAGCACCGGCAAGAAGACCTTCATTCTGAAGGGGACAGACGTCCCGTCCAGGGGCTCGAAAAGGCAAGGAGCCTGTCTTGCTCTGTAGAGACAGCTTGTTAGAGGTCCAGGCTGCCCGTCCCACACCCAGGATCTTGGTTCAGACCAGTGCCAGGCTTTGGGGCCAGGCAGTGCCTCGCTCTTCCCGATGGGCCACGTGCCCCCACTGTTTAGATGGGCATACAGAGGGGAGGGGAACCTGCCAGCGTTCAGCAGCGGGGCCAGGACACATAGGGTTTTCTGCGTCTTTCCTAACCCACCCATCATTCAGTGCAAGCACTTTCTAGTGGATACCCCTCACCAAACCTGGGGGCGAGGCGCACTAGAGTCCAGATGAGGCGACTCCTCAGTGTTCGCAGAATCATACAGAAAAGGTGGCTGAGGGAGTGCTCCTGCCTGGGGTCATGGGGGTGGAGAAATGGCGACCAGTAATGACATTAGCTGATCTGCATCCAGGAACTGGGCTGGGGGCGTGACTCCCCTCTAGCTGGGCACTCGCCTGCCAGGGCAGCTTCGTGTGGGGGTGGCAGGCGGGGTGCCTCCCATCCTTCATGTTATTCAACACTGAAGACAAGCACCCTTGGGTGTCTGCGATTCCCCATTCTGTGGCTGGGAACCGGCTCAGAGAGCGGAAGCTCTGTGGGTGCTACTGGCCACACCAGCAGGAGCAGGCACAGGGAGCCTCAGCCACATGAGTCTGTGGTGCTGCTCAGTGCATCAGGAACCAGCCCCCCTTGGGCAGGGACCCATGGCACCGGGTGGGAAAAGAATTTGGAAGGTGACCAGCTGGGGTTCAGATTCTCTGTGTTGTACGCAGCACGGTGCTGGAGTAGAAGTGTGGAGCCTTCTGCTAGGGGCAGCTGCGGCGGCGGGGGGTGGGCATTTAGGCCTGGGGCGCTAGTTCTGAGGCATAGGGACGAAGAAGGATGCCAGGGTGGGAACAGATCTTGGGAGGGGCTGGCAGAGACACTGATGGGGAGAGTAGCAGCCCAGGCCCGAGAATGAGTCCCAGGCCTCTCCTGTCTAGCCCTGGACCTGTGCTGATGTCTTGGGGTTGGGAGCAGGAGCCCCAGATGGCCAAGAACAGTGCCAAGCCCAGCTGGGGATTGTCCCTGCCTCCAGGCAGCCTGGGGACAAGGAGTCTCCATTTCCTCCTCCATAAAGTGAGGTTTTGGTGTGGAAAAGCCATGAGCTGTCTCCCAGGAAGCACAGGAACGCACAGCCACGAACAGGTCAGGCCGGCGTCCCCACCCGTCGACTGTGAGGCACCCAACCAGCGGGTGCCCCAGGGCTGCATGGGCAGACAGGGCCCAGAGGGAGCCAGCAGGCCTTGGGGGCAATGCCACCTGGGACCCAGGCTCAGCACTCTCCCCAGGCTCACAGAAGTTCATCCCTGGGAAAGCCAGGCATCTCTTGGCTGCCCAGCCACAAGAGCGGTAGGACCTCTCCTGGGTCTCCAGGGAGGGAAGGGACCAGATGGCCAACCTCGGGAGGCCCGGCTCCTGCACCTCCTTTGCATGTATAATCTGTGGCGAAACAAAGAGCTCTCCCCGTCTCTGTAGGGCAAGTTCCGGTGCCCAGGGAAACCCACCGGGGCGGTTAATTCTCCCCTTCCCGCCAGGGGCGTCCTCAGGATCTCGCACCCCCCCCTCCAGTCCAGAAGCCTGTCCCTCCCCAGCCCCACGTTGGGGAGTCAGGGCACCTACAGTAGCTTGGTGGGTCCCCAGCGGCTGCGCAGCCCCGGGCGCCCACCCGCCCC